GACAGATCTATGGATAACACTTTTGCATCGCAGCGAGGAAGATTCAGATTAGATATCAGAAAAAATATATCTTTTGCAAAGGTAGCAGAACACTGAATTAGATTGCTCTGGAAAGCATCAATCTCCAAAACTGGAAACATAACGAAATATGTATTAGGAATGACATAAATATGTATCCCTGTTGATCATAGGCTAAATGACTTCTCAAAATTCATGCAATCCTATGAGCCCATAATATTAAAATTGCATAAACAGGCACTTATTAATTATACATGCATTTAAATAACGTTAATCTGTACTGATTTAAAAATAAATTAAGAAACATCAGCTTATCTCTTGACAAAAATGAAATGAAACACACTGTTTAACCAGAGGAAGGACTAAAATTAATATGGATCCATAAGAGTAAGAACCAAAACTGAAAAAAATTCTAGAATTATAACTTATATCATCTTTTTCTTAAGAGCTGAACCAGAATTAAATTACTCCCTGAGGAACAGAATAATAACTGGAATCAGTTCTTTGTTACAGAATTAAAGCAACACTGCTGTGTTGCTGATGCTGACCCAGTATTTCAGGCTTCCTTAATCTATTTCTTCCTAGATCTATGATTTATGACATCTGAGGACTGACCTTTAAATTTCTGCCCTAACAAGCAGGTTTATTTGCACTCCTTGGATATAAAAAATAAAGGTCTCCAGGCCAGTAAGTATTAACTTCTTTAAGCATACCACATTGTCTCACATATAACCTCCTAGAATTTGTGACAAGCAACACTATTTGAGGTCTAACTAGTTTCTAGTCTTCTAAAACAAATCTAATTTATACTGTCAAATGTACCTTATTTTGCTACCTAACAGCTATTTCTAAAGGCAGCAGAAAACTATCCTAAATCAAACTGGCTTCTGAAATGCAATGCAGCAAAGAAAAACACAGAATCATCTTTTTTAACATGGATATGAAATAAGCATTTCTATTAATCTTAAGTTTGTCAAACACCACACATATCAATTATCTTTCTACTTACAAACTATAAACGTCAAATTTTCTCTTGTTATCTCTTAAGAAATGTGACATTAAAGTTAATGAAAGCATTTATTTAGACAAACTTTTATATAGAGGCTGGGCTTCTTCAAGGTTGGTATTATACACACTGGGTCTGCGATATGGTGGCTTGAAATCCATGCGGATACAAATACACATACATGTGGACTTATACCAGAAGAGAATATGACTCTCTTATTTTCTCTTCAGAGAAACCAAATTGTGTTAATGTCACATCAGAAGTTGAAGACAGTCATTTGATTAGATGTATTTCTCTAAATTATTCTAAAAGTCTATATTGTTTTATGTCAGTTACTGGCGTAGAGGCACTTCTGAGAGAAATCTCAGTTGTGTCATTATGTTATTCCCAAATCTTCACTTCTGCTCTTAACTTAGAGGAAAGAACTTATGCCACTGAGTTATAACTCAAAGCAATGGACAATGCAAAGTCGTATGGAGAGATGAAATCTCCAAGAGCACCACAGCATGTAGAGGGAACTTAACTGCCATTTTAATGATCGATAGCCTTTTTAAATGAAGATTTACTCAGAAATACCAAAACCAAAGGCACCGTTTTAGCTAGAATACCAGGTTTTGAGCTAGCAGCTGCAACAGACTCCTATGTACATCAATAAAACACAAAAAGGAACATAATACCCTACTGATTACTGAGTTATATGATTTTACAGGCAGTGGCCTACTTCCCCTTGTTTAGCAACACTGATTAGGTAGCCAGTGGGTAACGGAGGACTGACAGTGGGGAGAAGACCCTTCATTTCTCTCTGTGTATACCTACATCAGGAGGATGCTGAATTACACTTCTAAGTCCACGCTCACCAGTTCAGTCCAGAAAAAGCCAGAGCTGCAGCACTGGCTAGGTTCACAGTAAATTTGACTGGCGGTGTTACCCGTACTATATCAACTACATTTCTGAAATTTATCCTTTTTACTTAAAAAAAAAAAGTGCATTTAAGAAATACAAATGGTAAAGATGCAAGAAGATGTTAAATTCACTGAGGCATATTAAATAAAATATGTATGAGCACTAGTATTATGGACAATAAGCGAATACCACTTGACACAATTGTTCAAGTGCTTGAAATTGTAACAGTTGATTTCACTAACATAGTTTAACACAGGCAAAACAACACACTTTTCATTAGTTTCAGAAAGTGCTAAAGCATTTTGGTGAAGTGAAACCAAAATTATAATAGGAACAAAAGAAAGCAAAGAAACAAGCGATAATTTTCCCAAGGCACTGGCCTACCTATAGAACCTTGTGCAAACAGTAACAGTTTGAACAGACATTCACCATCCTGGTCTCAATATAGTAGTGAATTGTTAGAAAACTCATTAAGTGAGGTTATCAAACCCATCAGAAGATGCACATACACTCATGCATTTAACGTGCCAGATTAAGACAATATGCAAGAATGAAGAATGTGTGCTAAAAAATGAGTTAACATTCTTTCTAATTGAATCAATGAGTTATGGAAATGGAAAGAAAGATAAGTAGCAAAAGCGGATGTTTTCCACTACACTTGACCAAAGAAAGACTGCAGTAGAGGAAAAAGTTTTCATATATTTAGGTCTGTAAGACACTAAATAGCAGAAATAGATAACAGGCTTGTAAACATGTGCATCCTAGATGTGACAGTGACATATAAACACAGACCTAAAAGGAATTAGCAAGGTAAAATTACTTCACTTTCAGACTCCCACAAGTTCAGACAAACACGCAATACAAGTTTATTCCAACAGGAACTTTGAAAAAGAAGTTGTTGTTCTCAGGTCTCAAAAAGTGCATTCCTGAAAAGTTTGAAGTTACTTAAAAAAAATTAGAGTTTAAGGAAAAAAAAGAGTCTCATCCAATGACTAATTAAAATGACAGAGGCATTCATCTGACTCATTGGTTAGTCACAGTACTCTAAGCAGTAAAAATAGTGTCTCATTAGTCTTTTAAGCATTTATTCCTTATTCTATATGAAATTGATACTTAATCACTTTCCTAGTGTACAACAGGCACTTATTACACAGGGAAAACTTGGAGAATGGAAAGTTTATAAAATCTCTGTCAATCTCTCCTACATGTTAGGAATGATTCATTATAATGGGCCATGAGCGGCAGGGTGACTCTGAACGGAAGCCTGTAATTAACTTTGCTTCATGTTTTATTGATAGTATTTGCTGTTTTCTGAGATCTGACCATACATCTTGAGCAATGTGCAAACCTATGGATCATGCTGTGCTTAGATACCCTGGCATTGGGGGATATATGCGAAACTAAATAGATTAGGTGGAAAATATACCACATCCCTTGTGATCTGTACACACATTTAGATTCTCCCTTTTCTGCCACCTGTTTGATGTTGTTTCTGTCTCAAAGCACACTTGACATTTAATACGAAACATGGAACTCAAAGTTCTTTTTTACTGTCTTGGGCCAGTATTTACTTATATCAGTCATGGGCATGCTGATAGAGAATAGGAAAAAATGCATAGTATCGCTTACAAAAAAAACATGTCTGTACTTTGAAATGCTGTAGATCTTACACTTCAGAGCAAATCTGGAGTTGCAGACAATTTGCAGTTACAAACTTGAGGAGGGATGAATGGGTGTGGATGAGCCTTCTGTTATCCTGGAAGCAAGTCACCCACAAATTGGAAGAAAGATGGGGGGGTTTTGTAATATGGGTAATTTGGCAAAGCTAAAAGCAAATTTACAAAATCCTTAAAAGACCATGGATTATTTAGGAGCAGATGGTGTGAAAGGCATTTGAAATCCCTCCTGTAAACCGTGTTCTACTTCATATAAACAGTATAAGCAGAAGCTCACAGACCAGGATCTTCCTCCAAACGTTTTTGACCCTAGTCTTCGCATCTGGTATCACACTCCTGATCAATTAAGTTTTGAGTTTTATTTTCAGAAGAAAACAATGTCAGAGGGATTACCTATCAGAAGACCCTCTTGTCACATAATTTGGACAGTGGAAGATTAAAAAAGTGGCTTAACTCTCCTACTATCTGCAAAGAAATGTTCTTTTGAAAATTTCGAAACTCTAGTTCTGGCTGTGACTATTTTTTCCCGATTGAAAGAATTTGCTATGATTTATTGAATAATTTTTAAATTATCATAATAGCTTTTGCTGTGAAATTCTACCTCCCAACTCTGCTCATTATTTCTACAACACATATCTACAACACTTTTCATGAGATGACCTTTAGAATCACAGGCTTCATTGAAAAAAATGCATTTTTTTCTTTTGTCTTTCTTTTCTGAGCTCATATGGTACATCCACTTCATGTTTCTAAACCGCAATAGCTTCCTTAACTATAAAGCCTCAGTCTGAGGAGGTCCCTCTAGTGTGATGGATGAAGCAAATATTAATGGAAAAAAAACCCCACAGTACAATCACATAATTGAAGACTGCATTATAGACAAGAGATAAATTAGAAATGCAGAAGCACAAATATTTCTGAATTTCCTAACTATTGAGTGGTCAAGTTAGCAAACTTAATGCTATTCCTTCAACACTATTTTTCTGCTTGTGCACTTATTCAAATTTAGATTTGACTAATCATGGAAGAAGAGGAAGCAAATTGACAGTCAGCGCTGTGTCGTGGAAAAATCTAAAATTCTGGCTATATGGAAGATCATCTTAATTAAAACCAAACTGAGAAAATAAGTAATGGGTAATGGGAAGCCTTTTGTTAGAAACACAGATATATTTTGGTTTCACTGGCAAACCTGGAATATGAAAGTGTGGACTGAAACATAATTCTGTATATTGGCAGCCACTGGCATTCAAAAAAGTATGATTCATGTTTTAAAAACTCATAGTCTGGTTTAACAATCATGACATTTACAGAAAATTTTACATGTTTTTCCCTTGTCTTCTAGTTCTTCAGTTTTAATAGCACATTTAATTTGCACTTCCTAGCATTATTCTGCCAATATGACAGGTAGGTTCTCATACAAGCTTTTGATTCCGGGAGTTAAGGGTTTGTGACAATGCGCTGAAAAAAGTGAGCCTTGCAATGAAATCCCAAGATGGAAAGCATTGCTGCAGTCTCATACTGGTTCCAAATAATTTTTCTTGATGTAGTACAATCATTAGGGAATATTTGCTCTACTCTTTTCAATAAACAGTTCCCTAGTTTGACAATCTAAGCTGTTTACAGTGACTTTTAATAGCTATCTATCAATATCTCATCTTTTCAAACAATTTAAAAGTCACACAGGCATATATGTCACTCAACTTGTATTACAATCATCTACTGTGAGTTATAAAGCAATGAAATTTTCCTATGAGACAAAACATCTAATAAAGTAAAGGCCTAATCTATTTTGACTAAACTACCAACTTCATGCAAGAATGACTCATTAAGTCATGGCAAGAGTTAGTGTGTAGCCTGGAGGAGTGAGCCCAGGTTTGTAAACCAAGAAATTCTGCATCCAAAATTTTGCCTGTACCATAACTTTGACCTGTATCTTTAAAATTACTTTAAAAAAAAAAAAAAAACACCAGACAAAAACCCCACAACTTAGTGTGTATATATATATTTATTTATTTTAAAATATTTTTATATTTATGGAGAGTTACAGCTAATCAGTAAGCACTTTCCTCACACAGGCAATGTTAAACCAGATGCTAACACATAACTAACTCTCATCGGCTTAAGCGGACCTTAGGATTCCAAAACCCCTGCAGATGTTTTACATAAAGGTGATAAAATAGGACTTTTTCCTGTAAGGTTCTACTGTTGGTTTCTCTTTGCCACATGAAAAAAAATGCTTATTCTTTTAGCCAAACGTCAAAAGAACAGAGATGTGGCTCACTCTGGTCTGTAGTCGGAACTCAGAAAAATGCTAGTAGGTTACTTTTCACTAAAAGTTTAGAAAGCTGCTTTTATAAAATTTTCTTAGCTGCAAACAAAAAAAAAAAAAAAAGAAAGGTTATCCAAATTGGTTTCTGTGAATAAAAAACATAGAACAAAATGAGTTCCCATTTGGCCAGTGAGGATTTTTTTGGTTAAAGAAATGTTTCAAATCAGTCCAGCTCCTGTAGTCTTCAAAAACCAGCTATGATGATATATATACACACACATATATCTTTTGAGTTGTGTTTCATTGTAAAAACTGAATATATCAGGAAAAGCAGTTACTTGAATGGATCTCTCATGTGCATCCATTAAAATGCAAATAACCTTTCAAAATATGTATCTTCACACAACTTTTTCAACCTTCTGATAACCTTTCAGTCCTCCAGCATCCCATCACAAGATTGCTTTGAAAACAGTCTTGCAGCTTTTTCTATCCTTTCTCCAACACATAGTTTTTTTCTCTTCTATATAGAAGAAATGAAGGAGATGCTATAATCCATTCCAGTGTTACTCAGTTGATGCATTTGCCAATTAGTGTATGAAACATCTTCTAAGAGCAATATTTAATTACTGCAGATATGTAAATGATATCATGAGATCCCAGCCAAGCCTCAAATATTTTTAAAATTACCTAGGTAACTTTTTTTTTTTTCTTAATTATTAGCCCACTCTCTCTGAAAAGCAAGGTCTCTAAATTAAAGAAATGTGGTGGGTGAAATGTTATTTTTTGCCACCGTCAGCAAAAAGATTTTCCTCTATGAGGGTGTGTCAAATAAAAAACTTAGTAGGAAACTAATGGCCATGACCTGTAGCAGCCTTGTTGTACTGTGCAACTGAATTATTTCCTTTTCTAAAGCTCCAAGCGTGCCACTGAGAATGCTAGGTCAGCATATATAGTAAACAAATCACCAATCACCCAACAGCTACTGTATCTTCTGCCTCCAGAATGAAAGATCTCTTCCCTAGCTTGAACTTTTGGACCTTGAATTTGACCCTATCTGAGCTTTTGTTATGTTAACAAATGATTTTGATGGTAAAACTGTGGATCGACAGATAGGACTGGTGAGGGAAACACATTAATAAGGAATTACTTAAGTAAATCAGGTTGTTTGACCCAAGCATGCAAGCTCTCTAAATTTATTTCTTTCTCACCCTTCTGTATTGTCAGTGCAGCTTTAATTTCTCCCTTCTCCTCCATCAATCCATTTATACCGATCACATTAGTGCTCTTGGCAATTTATTCCATATTTCTAGTATTCTTTGCATGAAATAGCTCTGCTGGAATTCCTGTTTACTTCTAATTTCAGTTTGTTTCCACTGTTTTTTCAAACAGCAGGTTATAGTTAATTAAAATAAATCTGAAAACAGATACATTTAAAATAGGAAATGTTTGTAAATTGATATATTTTTTTCTTTAGCAATGTTTTGAAACTCTATGTTATTAATATAGTTGCACAAATAATTACCCTAAATCTCATATTCAGGTAATTACAAAAATAAAATGAACAGCTGTTATTACAAATGCATAATGCCAAGTCATAATGTGCAGGTTAGGGGTTAACACTAGCAAATTGGACACGGTACATAAACACAAAATAAATTATTGTATGGTAGTATAATTACATTCCAACCATTATGTTAATTATAATTTATATGAATTCCTTTGGTTTCCTATTTAGATTCTTCTGCGTACTAAATTATTCTACGTCAGCTAGGGTGGCACTGGACCATAAATCTGACAGCAGTGCATAGTGACATTATTTTTAATATGTAAGAGAAAGCTTATTCTATATGCTAGATTTGAAAGAAATGTTTTGTTAATTAAATTGGGTCAAAAGTAAACAAGATAGAGTTAAACAGGGCATAGAAAATCCACTTGACTGTCCAAAGAATTAAATTAAACATTTATTACCTTACAGATACTGACCTAAAGTGTTACTTTAAAATGTCTTTATTGAAAAATTAAATTAGAATGGGACAGATATCTAAGGAAAGTCCTTGCAAAAACCAGAAAATCCAATCATATAAATATATGGCTGAAAAGAACTTTTAGAGATTATTTTATGCATTTCCTTTCAGTAAAATACAATCTTACCTATATCTCCTATACACAAAGAGAGATATTTTTAAGAGCAGTTTACATACTGACATACACTCTGACGTGTGCTGATATGAGTATGAAGATGTTTTACCAGGACATCACCTGAGTAGTCATAGAATCATAGAATCATAGAATCATTAAGGTTGGAAGAGACCTCCAAGATCATCGAGTCCACCCGTCAACCCAACACCACCATGCCCACTAAACCATGTCCCTAAGCGCCTCATCTACCCGTCTTTTAAATACTTCCAGGGATGGTGACTCAACCACTTCCCTGGGCACCCGCTTCCAATGTTTAACCACTCTTTCAGTAAAGACATTTTTCCTCACGTCCAATCTAAACCTCCCCTGGCACAACTTGAGGCCATTTCCTCTCGTCCTATCTCTTGTTACTTGGGAGAAGAGACCGACACCCACCTCGCTACAGCCTCCTTTCAGGTAGTTGTAGAGAGCGATGAGGTCTCCCCTCAGCCTCCTTTTCTCCAGGCTAAACAACCCCAGTTCCCTCAGCCGCTCCTCAGAAGACTTGTTCTCC